TACAGTATTTATACTTCCAAAAAGATTCTCTGATCTCTCTATATATACAATATTTATATTTCCATAAAGATTCTCTGATCTCTCTATAAATACAATATTTATATTAACATGAAGATTTTTATTCTCTGATCTCTCTATATATACAATATTTATATTTCCATAAAGATTCTCTGATCTCTCTATAAATACAATATTTATATTAACATGAAGATTTTTGTTATCTCTCTATAAATACAGTATTTATATTTCCATAAAGATTCTCTGATCTCTCTATAAATACAATATTTATATTAACATGAAGATTTTTTGATCTCTCTATAAAAACAGTATTTATATGTCCATAAAGATTCTCTGGTCTCTCTATAAATACAATATTTATATTAACATGAAGATTTTTTGCCCTCTCTATAAATACAGTATTTATATTTCCATAAAGAATCTCTGATCTGTCTATAAATACAATATTTATATTAACATGAAGATTTTTTGACCTCTGTATAAATACAGTATTTATATGTCCAAAAAGATTCTCTGATCTCTCTATAAATACAATATTTATATTAACATGAAGATTTTTTGACCTCTCTATAAATACAGTATTTATATTTCCATACAGAATCTCTGATCTCTCTATAAATACAATATTTATATTAACATGAAGATTTTTTTATCTCCCTATAAATATAATATTTATATTTCCATAAAGATACTCTGATCTCTCTATACATACAATATTTATATTAACATGAAGATTTTTTGACCTCTCTATAAATAGAGTATTTATATTTCCATAAAGAATCTCTGATCTCTCTATAAATACAATATTTATATTAACATGAAGATTTTTTGACCTCTCTATAAATACAGTATTTATACCTCCATAAAGAATCTCTGATCTCTCTATAAATATAATATTTATATTAACATGAAGATTTTTTGACCTCTCTATAAATACAGTATTTATACCTCCATAAAGAATCTCTGATCTCTCTATAAATATAATATTTATATTAACATGAAGATTTTTTGACCTCTCTATAAATAGAGTATTTATATTTCCATAAAGAATCTCTGATCTCTCTATAAATACAATATTTATATTAACATGAAGATTTTTTGACCTCTCTATAAATACAGTATTTATATTTCCATAAAGATTCTCTGATCTCTCTATATATACATTATTTATATTTCCAAAAAGATTCTCTGATCTCTCTATAAATACAATATTTATATTAACATGAAGATTTTTTGACCTCTCTATAAATACAGTATTTATACCTCCATAAAGAATCTCTGATCTCTCTATAAATATAATATTTATATTAACATGAAGATTTTTTGACCTCTCTATAAATAGAGTATTTATATTTCCATAAACAATCTCTGATCTCTCTATAAATACAATATTTATATTAACATGAAGATTTTTTGACCTCTCTATAAATACAGTATTTATATTTCCATAAAGATTCTCTGATCTCTCTATAAATACAGTATTTATATTTCCATAAAGAATCTCTGATCTCTCTAGCCTCCAGAATTGATCCCAAAAAATACAGTTATGATTGATGTTATTAAGATTAATAACTTTATTAGTAGGATTTGGTCTGCCTAATTACGAATAAATAAATCCTAGTAACATCATTTTTGAGAAAAACAACTGAATATTGAAATCACTAGATCACTGATAACAACTCACGAGAGTTATTCATCAGTTTCTGGTCAATAGTTTGACAATGATTTGAGGCAGCAAATTAAAAATAACAATCATTCTGAATTAAAGCAGTTGGCAGTTGCAACTTCCCTATATTCATTTTTGTTTTATTCACCTGATTCAATTCATAAATATTTTCATGGCCATAACTAAATTAAGGCAAATATCAAAATGCTTCATGTCGAATTTGAAAAAAGAAATACTTATATGAATAGGATGTTTACGGTAAAGTTGTTATCATTTGAAAGTGTTGCAATGAAAGACATAACTGACTTTAAAGTCAAATAGCATTTTTTGTTTGTTATGGCCCTAGTGCTTCTATCTGTAATTATTAGGAATGTGAAAGGTTAATATATTTGCAAAGAGGATTCTGCAATCTAAGCGACCTACTATCACTAATTTTCTTAGCACACCTTCATCAATGACCTATATGGTGGTTATAATCTAATCTATAAGTCTTCCATCACAAATGTGAATGTAAATGATTCATATCTAAATGCCTTATCTATTAAAATAGACTTATGATCTTAGACTATGATTATATTATGTTGTTTTAAACTTACCAATAGGTTGTGATAGTTGAAATTATTTATAGATTGGTTAAAGTACTTACAAAAAAAATCAAATTACTTGTTTATAATAACCTGAATATCTCAGTCTTCATGTACAAATAAATAGGTTTACATAGACTTAGTTCAGTACTATTAAATCTATATTTTGAGAGGATTCCATTTTCAAAAATCAAATTTATGTGCCTTTGACTATCATTATTTCGAGTAAAAATGAAAATAACAATAGTTTTTAAACCAACATGAATAAAGTTGGATTGACCTTAACTTTATTTGAATAATGACGATAATAAAATAAACTAGAACTGTTCTAATAACAGTACTGATGCAGGGCGGGTTACGACATTCAAGTACATACGAAGATGGTCTATTGCAATTACATTGATGTAAATACTTTTCTGAATCTCTTAATGCAAATATCCAAAAGTGCCTGGAGCCTAAAGTATATTGACTAGGAATAAAATAATATTTGTCAATTTATAAAGACCAAGTTTGACGAAATCCGGATAAGGAATAAAAAAATTTGGTAACGCGCATGCGCACAACAAAAATGCAATATTTCCATCAAATTAAGAATTGAATTATACACATACATACCAAGTTTGGTGAAATTCGGATAAAAAATAAGAAAGTTAGTAATGTGCATGCGCACAACAAAAATTCAATATTTCCATCAAATTTAGACTTCGATTATATACATACATATCAAGTTTGGTGAAATTCAGATAAGAAATAAGCAAGTTGGTAATGCGCATGCGCACAACAAATATTCTATATTTTCATCAAATTTAGACTCCGATTATACACATGCATACCATATTTGGTGAAATTCGGATAAGAAATAAGAAAGTTAGTAATGCGCATGCGCACTAAGCAAATTCGATATATCCATCAAATTTAGAATTGGATTATACACATACATACCAAGTTTGGTGAAAATCGGGTAAGAAATAAGAAAGTTGGAAAATTAAGTGGGGGTATGCCTTAAATGTGCTTTCGTAAGCTCAACTTACAGTATAACACTGTTCAATCCATCCTAGAGCTTATTTATATACCTTAACTGGACACAAAACATTTTAAAGAAATATAGAAGGGAGGGTGTCTTTAAAACTACTTAAACTTTGATTTATATTGGGGTTGACAGCCGGGTTAATCTAATTAGCCGATTTATCTAATAATAGTCCCATGTTAAGTGAATGAGGTTTTGAATTTGCATGTAAGGCCTGCATGTTTTATATCATTGGAAAGCTCAGAATCTCTACATTACAAAATCGAAAGAATTATCGCCACATCTCTATTAGGGACCGAGATATAGCACCGCAAAGACTCAAAATGGTCCATTTTTAGACCCCTGTAAAATCGGAAAGAGTTGTCTGACCCCAAAGGTCAAAAGGTCATCAGACAGACAAGGTCACAAATTATCATCATAGTAAATATGAAGGTCATCAAAGGTCAAGGTCATAAAATATACGAGTTCAAACTTTGAAAAAAAACATCCAGTCGTACAAAAAAGGTAAAACCGAAAATCAAAATTATGCTGCCTAAGGATTGTAGACAGACATTAAACGTATCGTTTGACACAAAAGTTACGAAAATCGGATTAAAAATGGCCTCTGAATAGCAATTTCTGCAAAATGAGGCAAACCAAAATGTTACTTCCGGTGCGGATTTTTTTAGTTTAATAAATTTGTATTAAGGCTGCTAAAATAATGTATATGTTATTTTTGACATAATTCAAATCCACTGAAAGTGATACCACCGGAAGTACTAACATCAAAACCGGAAGTGATAAAAAAAAATTGAATGTGTACTTTTATGTCTCTATGCTGGCGGTCTACACCACGTAAGTTTCAAGTCAATCCGTCCGATAACAACCGAAATAGTATTTTTCGATTAATTTCGGCAAAAAAAGTATGAAACGAATTTTCGAAAATCGAAAATTTTCAACTGCTATCATTTGTCCTTTGTTACAAGAAATACGATGCAGAAAACCCGATCAAAATCGGTGGATAAACACTCCCTCTAGAGTCCATTTTCCGTTTGTTGCAACGTTGCGCAATGTTGCTCAGATAATTTTCGTTTTACATTTAAACTGTGATTAGCCACGAGTTACAAAACGCCATGAAGTCCGTTTTCCCGTACCTATTGCCGTTGCCGAGAAAACCGGCCTGCCGTAGACGAAAAAAAAAAAAAAAAAAATCAATTTGAAAACAAAGCAGGGCGTTCGCTTACGAACGCCCTGCAATAAATTATATTATCATCTATAGCAAACAAACACTAGGTCAGGAATGTCTACTATCTACTCAACACAGTTAAAATCATTGTTAGGGGGTCACAATTCTAACATTTAGTATGACTTGGTCCTTAAATACCTCCTAATGTTTTAATTTAATAACAACTTCAACTTTGTGACAAGAATACACATAAATCATGCATTTATCATTTAATATCTAAAATTTACTCTCAGTACGGTACAACAAAGGGAGAATCTAATGTAACATAGGGAATTTTGTTGATGTTTCAACTGTATACTTCAAACATTTTTAAAAATATTTCACAGATTTGACCATGCCCCAGGTCATGGAGAGTTGATTTGCATTTGATACTCAGTGTGAAATTTAGGACTAGATAAAATCTAGCATAAAATTTATTAAAGTCAGTTGTGGGCCACTTAGTACGTATATATCATAACCTCATAATCATGTTAGACTAGTTTATCTTTTACTAGTGGCAAATATAACTACCTTTTTATGTAACTGATTTAAAAGCCATGTTTTTCCATTTTGGGGGGGTTGATGTGGGTCCTGAATATATAAAAACTAGAACTATTTCTATATTAAGCTTGTATGTTTTATCTTTATATATGATAGAAAAGATGGGTCTTCATTTTAACTTTCAAACACACCATGGATTTGAAGGCTCAGATATTGACTGTGAACTGTGAACACTATTAATGATTAGCTTAGCTAAAATATTCCCATTTCTGAGACTAAGGAACCATTGGTCAAACTTTAGTTTCAAGAAAATTCTTATGAAAATTCATATGTAAAAGTGTGGTTTTCCAATTATGAAAACAACATCTTTAATTTTCAAATGAGGTATTGATATAATACCATCTATTTGCGCGTAATAGTGTTCACAGCTCATTGTCAAGATTTGAGCCTTCACATCCATGTGTGTCCAGTATTATCCGAGTTTGAAAGTGTTCTTCAGACACTGCCATAGATAAGACATCTATACAAAAAAGAAAAGGAATTCCTAGTTTTGACGGAATTATGCAATTTTCGTACATTTTTAGTACTTCTGAATACCATTTTCCAGACTCAAATCAACCCAAAAAAGGCACACTTGCTCATTTAAGGCAACTGACAACTACAATCACAGATTACAGTTCCATTTGTGCCTAATTCCTTTAGTTTTCACATGTTACATAGAATTATAACAAGTAGGTTAATAGTGCTGAACAAAATGAAAAAAAAATATTCAACACATAGCCATACAACATTACAGTAAATCTTATATCTTTTGATCTATTCTTATACAAATACAGTAACATGTTCATGAAAGAAAACACATTGGTCAGTTGTCCAGTTGAGATAAAATGGGTGAACCATAATAAGAAGATGTACTAGTTAGATCATCTGATAACCGTATGTTTATACATTTCTAAATTAAACTAATGGATCTTGGCATAAAAAAAAACAGATGAATATTGAGAACCAAATTTTCTTATTAGGTGCATTCCACCGAAAATGATCTTTTTTTTTTTTTTCTCTGAATGTTGCGTCAGTTATCATGGAATGCACCTAATAGATGTTTTTTAAACATGTTTTCTTATAGATGTTTTTTCAACATGTTTTTCCTTTGATCTGTTGGCAGGTAAAATTCTGAACAATCTAAAATTTCGAAAAGACATTTTCATCCTGTTAAAAAGTCTAATATCTCAAAACCAACAGTGTTATCTTCAGAAACAGTCATAAACACAATTTTTATCACAATTTGCATTTAAAATTATTTCTTGAAGGCCTGCAAATTTTCCTTAAAAAATTTTTTAATATATGCCGTTGATTTGATTGTATGTTTGTCACTCATAAACATATTGAGTTTTTCTATAATGGTGATTTAAATCTGGACACATAATTTGGTTTCATAATGTGATGCTTGCAACATACAACATTCTTACTACAGACAACTGTGCATAATGCAATCTGTTAGCTGGTTAAACAGAAAAAATGGATACAAATATACAATGTTCTCTAAAGTTTCAAAGCATAGATTTTTTCTGACAATCCCTGTCTTCACTGACTTTTGTTGATATTGAGATAAAAGACAATACTTACATCTTGACTGAGATTATCCTCCAAAGAAGCAGATTTAGATAATCCTGGTGCTTTCTTATTTCTTGTTAATGAATTACTCTTACTTTTCACTTTAAAACTAGCCTTCTTATTTGCTGTCTTTTGTTTTCTGAAAAATATGACATTTCAAATTGTCAGTTTCTGCTAAAAAGAAACAAGTTTCCAGATATCATCCATTTGATGTGAGATTATATCTCAGCTAAAATGCATAGCAAGCTAAATAAAATCTTAAGCTTATCATTTCTATCAATTTGTTGTAAAGATAGCTTTAGGTAATATAGGTAATATACGCTCATTGACATTGGCAACTGATTTTGAATATAAATATTTGGCAGTAACAATCATGAGTATGAAATATTCAACCTTCAGTCATACACTTCTTTTGAACCTTTTAAGCTGATACTGAATAACATAACCAAGTTTTGTCAAAATCGGCAAGAATCGTGCCTTTTAGTGTTTACAAGCAAAATTAATGTCTTTTTAAGAACTAAGTCAGTAACTTCTAAAAAACATTTTTTGATTTTTTTGATTTTCATTCATAACAAATTTCACAAAATTTCATCAAAATTGTGCCTTTAAGAGTGTTTATGGACGTGGGTGACGACGATATACGCCCTAATTTCATGTGGGCGTATAAAAAGATAACATATGGGTTTAATTTTTCCACAGTGATCTTGATTGTTTTGAACCATTCCAAAATCAAAACATATAGTTACACTTTCTGAATACATCATGAACTTAGTGATTGAACAAATTAAAAAGTTAATAACATCATTAACAAAATGCATTAAACTAATAATGAAAAACAAAAACCAAATTATTAAACCATTATCAACTAAGTCCAAGGAATATGTGATCATATATGGTGTAAGTCAATCAAGGCTTGAAATAAGCATCCGGACAAGGACATTGTCTGGTACCATTTAGGCAAATGTTCGGCACAATTTCATTCTTGTTGTTGATCATGAATTATCAGGGATTCTGACCGTTAATATTTCCAATAGACTTCAAAGTTGTGTATTTTTGAAAAATGTTCTTTTTGGCGTAACGGATTGACATTTCTCGCCTCGGAAAGCAAAAAAGTTCGGAACAACAATAACATAGTCTAGATCATCTAGGACCTAGAGAAGATATGCAAGGTCTGGATGATCAAGTCACATAAACTATTCTTAGCTAGTTGTTAACCTGTATTACCAATGAAGGTGAGAAAATGGCAAATTTAAGTACTAAATTGATGGATTTTAAATGCAATTTTTCAATTGAAAATATCGCATTTTTATTATGTCCGGTATAAAATTTCAAATACTGTATTTATACTAACATACATGCAAACATTTTTTTCAATTTGATTCAACATAAAACTCCATTCATTTCATTCATACTTGTATCAACTAAAATAAAGTCTTTTGGCATTTAACAATTGTTAATACAATATAGAGACACAGCTTGTGATTGTCAAACCAATTAAGTCAAATACATGTATATCATTTAACAATAATCATCATATTTTCTTTGAGAAAGTTTTCAAAATATAACTATAAGAAATATATAAAACGAAGTGACATGTAAATAATTTTGTGTTTTTGCGAGGACTATTTATATTTTATAACCAGTACAGAAAGAGATGAATATCAGTAGCAAACAAAGGTCAACAGAATGAAAGGGAAAAATAGTTTAGTACAGTTGTCCTATATTTATGATTTATAACAAGCCAATAGACAAGTATTTTAACTTGATTACTTCCTCTACCACAGGCTTCCAACACAGTCAGTTTAACACTGGTAGCTAGTCAATTAATGTCAATAACTATGGTCATGCATTATGATAATCAGTCTAGTTAATGCACTATGGAGTAAATATTAGTACTGTCATTTTACATGCAGTGACATTATTGATTATCTACTACCAGGTAATCTAAGATACCAGTTGTCATACACAATCTACAATCTTGTCACTGAGATAATAACGTAGTTCTTTGCAAAGAAAGGGAAAAGGAGTTAAGGAAAAGAGATTATAAATTTTGAACAAAATCAGCTTTTTCTTGATCTTTCATGCTTCTAGTCAATGTAAATTCCAGACAGAAATTGACATGATAGCTCTTAGAATCATGGACAAAGAATGCCTTTACTCTCAACACAAACAAAAAACTGATCTTGACTGTACTTCTTGAAATACTAAACAAGATTTAGACTGCCAATTTACAATGTCTGTTCTCCAATTTAGAGGTTTGTATGGAAATAGCTATAATGGAGCAGGTTTTTGCAATCAAGCTAAAATTAGATTTGAATGTAATCAATATTGCAAGATACAATAATAGTGAAAATAGTACTTGATAAATTGATTTCTTAGATAATATTCTAAAATTGGAAAGAATGGTATTCTGAGATTCTTTAACAAAACATTCATATATTAAAATATTCCAACAACCAAAGCTTCCACAACCCATGCAATTTATAAAACACAAGATGCGCTTCAAAATAAAAATAATCAAAATCAACAAAACAGTAAGGGTAATGCATAGCAAACTAAAATTTGGGTTGACATACTGTGTTTACTTACATTTTTGTGGTAATATTGTTTAAGAAAGCCATACTGAACATGAAAGAAACATAAGACATATTACAAAAAAAAAAAAAAAAATGAATTAGCACACATATCTGAAAGAAATTTGATAACTCAAAATAATCTTTGTACAAAAGAAAAAAACCATCAAAAAGACAAACAGATGTGATTTACCTGTAAATTCCAAATCTACGAGACGGTGCTTTACCACTCAGTTCTTCTGTAATTTCAGTATCTGAAAATTCATAATTTAACTCTTACTATTAAAGGCATCATGACCCCATTTCTCAAAATATAGATAAAGGTACGAGAGCAAAACATAAATTGACACTTCATGACAACATAAAAAGTAAGTTTTTCTTCATATATAAATATATATATATATATATGAATTTTTGAGAATCAGGGCCCCTCGTCTCAGGACTCTAGTCTGATCAAATTAACGAAAAATGTTCAGCTAACGAAAAAAATGAAATGAAATTTTGACCTACCTCTTTCTGGAACAAATTCATAAATTCCCTCTCCTTCAGAATAACATCCACCATCACTAGAACCTCCATCAGACACTTCATGATATTCATTTTCACCTGGAGTGCTTGCAGACGCACTACGTACACGAGCTGTGTTCTTCTTCCATGTACGTCCAACATTAGTTTTCTTATTATTTGCATTTATTTGTTGCACAAAATCTGAAACTTTTAACCCACTGGCAAAAATAGATTCCTCTTTCCGTTTAAAAGAGTCAGACTTTACTACTTTTGGTGCAATTTTGACTTCTGGCAATTCTTGTGGAAGCAAAATGGCATCTTTTGCAACTTTGTCTTGATGTTCAGTTGGACAACCGCGCTCAAAATCAAACTTGAGTTTTTCAAAGCGTTCTGAACTCATGTTCCTAGTAAAAATTCGCTTATCAACTCCAGGCGGCACAAACATGTTTGCAACACGGTCACCAGAATTTTTCCTTTGAATCAATTCAGATTTTTCTGATAAACGGGTAATTCTGTCATTAGATGGTCCTTTCTTTAACTGAACAGAGTCATCACTACTATCTGTATGAGACACTTCACTAGGTGTAACCTGTACAACTTCAATTGATTTCTTCTTTTCTTTAGCAGAAGCTTTACCATTTTCTGTCTTCTTAGCCTTAGATTTCTTTTCTTCTTTTTTCTCCTGTTTCTCAGCCTTTTTTTCCCAGTTCAGAACTTTTTGTTCTAGGTTTTGCCTTAGGTTCCAATTTTTGAACTTTAACAGTATCTTTAAATATTTCGTTACCGGTGTCAATGTTTTTGACCTTATTTTTTATGTCAATATGCTGAACTTTTATTTCTCGAACTACTTTGACATCTTCCTTGTTGGAGCCAGTCTTATCAAATGAGCCACTGTTTTTAGCATTTTTTTGTTCCAATAGTTTACTTTTAACAACATTTCGTTCTGTTTTTTCTGGCTGAGTTTTTGTATCTGAAAATCCACTCACAAGACCATCTCTAGTAATATCAAATTTTATCAGTTTTTCTCCTGATTTGTCAACTAAAGGATCTTCATTTGGTTTGCTTCCAAGTAAATCAAATTTCTTTTCTGTCAATCGTATTTTTGTTCCACCTGTAGCTAGAGGTTTAGTTCCGCTAGACAGTTTAGGTCGAAGGTCATTTTTAATTGTGACAGTAGAAGTTGGGGATATTTTTGATGCTGCACCAACACTTGAAAGTCCATACTTTTTGGCAACTTCTGATATTGATGATGAATCTACAGTTTCATCATCATCAGTACTACCAGTATGTTCATGGCTGACTGGTAATTCAACACGACTATCGCAACGTCTCTGAAGTGAAGGACTATTTCTGGGACTGTTCCAAGAAGAGGCACTACTCGATGAACGAAAAGAGCGAGGACTAGTTTGTTCTGAAGAAATACTATTTGCATCACCACAATGAATATTAGCACGAAATTCTGAAGAAGGTTTGAATCCTTTTGGACTTGTATCTGCACTTTTATAGCCTCTTGAGCTGGTAATTTGTAGTGATTTTGGACTAGATGGATGTAAAGTTTCTTCCTCTGATGAATGTGATGAAACACTTTTACCAGATCCCACTCTACCAAGACTAAATTTCAGATATTCCCTTGCCTTGTCACGGGACTCATCATCCTGAAGTCCTGAATGCGAAGTCGTCACAGTTTTGGAAACTATTTTGGAAGTTGGATCTAAACTATCATAAGAAGTCTGTGTCACAGTTCGTGTAGTTGTACGTTTTGTTACAAAACTGCTAGAGGGTTGAGCTGAAGCTGAAGCATTCATTCTTTCTGCTCGTACTTTTGCTAATATTTCATCAGCTGTCCTAATACCAGTTGTTCGGGATACAGAACGTGGAGCAGGTGTTAATGAAACAACTTTGACACCAGTATCTACATCATCAGGTTGAACATTACTTGTAGTTCTCCTAGTCACAGTTCGTGTTTCAGTTGTTTTCTGTGTAGAAGTCATACCAGCTCCCTGTTTTGTTTCTGTTTTGGTAGTTGTCGTAGTCCCATCACCAGATTTATCAAACATTGCTTTTAAATCTGAAACATTAGCTGGCTTGAGCGGAGTACGAATTCCACGAGAGGCGCTTGTCCTGGTAGAACCAGTACTTACCCCAATATGCTTATCTTTAACTACATCCATTCCTGTAGTTTTCAAATTCACACCAAATTTCTTTTGATCCATACTTTCAATTTGTTAGTAAATCTTTACCAAAATAAATCGTCACATACTGACATGTTTAATAATCCTCAATGATGCACATAATCCAGTTCAACTAATCCTAATAGCAGTATGAGGAAGCATCAATCTGGAATCCTATTATTTCAAGCATCATGCAGTTTCTGTTAATATCATGCCATTGATATGGTTAGTTTGTTAACATCATTTCTGAAATGAGAATTAAAAATATGTTAAATAATAATTATGATTAAATTTCATTGATATGTCATAATTATAATGATTTCTATTGGCACCACCTGGCAAATAAGTAACTGCGTTGTTACTGATCAGGTATAAGATGTAAATTGGATTTTGATGCAGTAAGGAAACTATAAACATATTCAATGTCATAACAACGAAGATATATGATTGTGCAGCTATTCCACTTGAATAGGTTTAGTTACGTTTTAAGCCAAGCTCATCAAAGCCTTCACAAGCTATTTTGAACTTTGTTACTTATATCTTGACTGCAATAGCCAATATTTTAAATCAGGGAATGCAGAAATTTGATGGGCTTTTGGCTTTGACAAAAAGGCTGAAACCATAAAGGCTTTGTGTGTGTCTGTCGAGGGCTCTGATCAGCTGTATTCTCTAGCGACCAATCCAATTAAATCACTTCGTTAACAAACTTCCACAATGCAAGAAAGGTGGCTATTGCAGTCAAGGTATAAGTATAAAGTTTGTAACAGCTAGACATTTTGAAGATGATAAAGCCCACGGCTCAGATATTTTTTCGTATTAAGGGTAATTAGGTGTCACAGAAATAAAGAAAAAATTCCTATTCACTACCATATTAGGAATGGAAATTTCAGAATTTACAATTTGTAAGGAGAATTAAGTTATAAATGGATAAGTTACATTAGTGTTAAAAGGATGTGATATATGATTATTATTTCTAGTATGTATTTCCTATATAATATCAAATCATGTTAACATATAGTTATATAAAATAGCATGCACTAATAACCTGTAATATATACAATACTAATAGGCATAAATATATAGACAGGTTTTCTTCTCTTTGTCTGATCCAGTTGTGGTATTTGTATTTTTCCTTTCAAAACAGAAACATGAATTTCAATAATATTTTTAATATACAGGCTGATCTTTAGCAACATACAGCTTCTAAATTCATGAATACCTTGCTTATGCAATTTGTCTTTTAAAAGGTTTCACATTTTATGTAATAAATCACACTGACAGCACATAAGGGACATTTGAAAAATGTAAATCGCAGCTATTAGGTTAGAAATCATCTTGACAATAGACTTTTCCAACCACTAACACTAAAACTGTATAAGAGAATGACTTACAACTTAACAAGCAGTATTAAGACAAAGCTTGTCTTTTTTAGTTTTGTTTGATTATATCAAAGGATCATTTATAATTATTATGGGAACAAATCACTAGACAGAGCCTTATTTAAATATTTGGTTAGTATAAAAGCATTTTGGTATACATATATATATATATATAATATATGATAATTTGGTTAACCTTCTAGCTATTAACATCCTAACATTAATTGTTTAAGGGTCACACCCTCATAATTTCCTTCATCTTATCACATCCTTGTCATGTTTACTACCTATGTACTACTGAACTAGACGAAACACTTGATTTCAAGTTAATTTCCATTGTCTGCAAGAAGCATATGGCAAAAGGGTCACTATTTCTTATATACTAATCCAATTATTTAGAAAATAAGCTTAATTAATTCATAAGCCATTCAACTATGATTTTCAGACATAATAAAATATATTTCATTAAAGCAAGATTTTCAACATTTGTCTATTAGTGTCATCAAGAATCAAAAAAAAAAATCACTAATTTGACATGATATCTATTTCAATTTCAAGATTAATTACCCCAATAGATTTTCATAATTTGAAAATATTTACTTTAAAAAAGGTGTCATAATAGTAAATGTTGACTTTCTTGATAAAGTCACATAGCAGACATTACCTAATAGCAGTATAAGTTTTTATTCAGTGTCTGAATGTGCCACTCACTTTCAAAGTAGGTTTAAATCCTTCTCAAGAAACATGACAAACATTTACCCATAAGAAGACTAGTCATTTTCTATTACTCAAGTGTTTTAAGAAATGAATTAACACGTCTGTAATAACAAATAACATACCTTTACTCCAAATTCACTTTCTTCAAACTACCAGATAGGTCTTAAGAGGTTACTTAAACTGTCTATTTCAAAGGTACATAAAATGATTTTTAAGTTAACATTAAATCATGTACACAATCATGGTGTGGAACATGATTATGTCCGAAGTAACTGTGGAGGTGTTCTTTGTACCCTATAAAATAAGTGGACTGCAGTGCAGAATCACTAGCTGTGCAGTTAATATGTTAAGTACACTGCTGTCTTATATTGGACAATACTATTCAACTTATTAGATAATCCTTGTCTGAAACACTTGACACCTTTCCTTATTTTCTACATGACAAACCCTAATGTAGATAATATTGACATAAATATACAGTATGAAATTTTTACAGTCATCATATCAGTTAGTATATGGAGATACAAATATGGACGTCACTTCAATCTCAAAGTCATGAAGTCAAGGAGACAATCCATCAAAATATGAAACATTCACTGTAAAAATTTGTCATGCTGTATAGCATTTATCATAGATTTGTAAAGTTTGTCTTAAACCAGGGTTTAACTTTTAAAACTTACATGCTATAAATATTAACTTAAATATTTTACCAGCAATCATTATTTGGCTCTTCCTGATAGAATTACTAAAATGTTATGGTTAAAGATGGATAACGAAAAAATGAAGAGAAGTCTGTAGAGTTAAAATAACGCCAATGGCAACAATGTCTGGTTACTACTAAAAAAAACAATGTTTTGACAAATGCAGTCATATTCAGTGTATATCATCATGCAGTATGATAATATTGTATTACACTGATAACCTTCTCATTAACTACCAGTTTACAGGTCAACATGATCACTCACAATGTCAGTTTCAACCATAAACACCTTACATTTTTTTTAATATAAATTGACTGGCCCCCACTAATGCTTCCAAATTTGATATTTTTCATTAGTCCACTTATATAAAATATTTTAGCATGCCCTGTGGTAGTAAACAACAAGCACTGTTCAGCATTGCTGTGTTGATATTTTCCAATGTCATACACTTTTAAGGAGAACCTTTTTCAATAATCAATCTAGTAAAAAGTCTCAACCAGCTTAACCAAATATGACAGCTGAAAAGCTAGAGAGGTGTACACAATGAGCATATTCTATGGTCAAAATGTTAATGGCAATAAAAGATTAAGTTATAATGATAGTAAGTAATTGTAATTGATAAAGCTGTAGAGTCAAAATCATTGTGCACTTTAAATATGAATTGTAACATAATTTCCTCTAAATTTGGTAAAAGAGAACATTGGTTAGAATGTAAATACTTAATTCAGAGTTTTAATAACAATGTGCATTATTATGTAATAAGATTCAAATCTGATACATTTGTGTATTAGGGTGTATTGTATTCAGATGAGTCTAAATGAAAGCACTGGCCATGTGTATGTCTTTACTAATCAAGCCTCTTTTATTTCCTTCAAGATATTTTCCTTCTTCATTAGATTTACAAACACTAATCTTATTATAAAACCAAACTAACATAATATGTAGGCTCTCAACCCTACATGAACACAAGTAGATCTACATACAACTTATTATTTTTCTGATCATCAAAGATTGCTTTACTTAATTCATATCTCATATATGATAATAGTCAGGAGTTACTCTTGTAAGATTTGATACGGAGTTTTCATAACCATGACAGACTTAATGTTGACATGTGGTGACTGAATAATAATTGATGAATGACAGCCAGCATCACAAATTGAGAAAGAGAATGATTCTTTTATTCACACAAAACATTGTGTCTGAGCATTATCTTTACGGTAACGTATGAAATTCTAAAGAGATTGTCTAAATAAAATTATCAAAATTGTATACATACTTATTTCATTGTTATATTCC